ACCTCCCAGACCACAATCTTAGAAAAGAAGTTGAAGGTGTGGTAACAAATGAAAGATGGAATAACAAATAAGTATGAGGAGTGGCACAAAGAATAAAGGGAGACATCCCCAGACATAATAGCACTCACAGAAACAAAACTCACCAGAATAATAACAGATTCAATCTTTCCATTCCAGATATCAAATCCTCAGGAAAGACAGAGGGAGGAGAGGGGGAGGAGGAGTTGAAACTGCTCATTAAAAACCGGGGGGGGGGTTTTGAGAAAATGGAAGAAAATGGATGGCAAAAGGCAAAAGGGACTACTTTTGTAGGAACAAAACCAGTCTGAGGGACATAAGGTGATAATTGCAGTAATGTACAACTCACCACAGAAATGCAGGGGGCCAAGAGAAAAATACGATGAGAGCAACAGAGCAATGGTCGACACACTAGCCGAGGTGGCCAGGAGAGCACACATGGGGGGAGCAAAGTTACTAGTTATGGGTGATTTCAATCACAAGGAGATTGACTAGGAAAAACCTGGAGCCCCATGGGGGTCCCGAAAAAGGGAGAGCCAAGATGATGGATGTGGTACTGGAAAACCTCATGCATCAACATGTTAGAGACACTACCAGAGAGAGAGGAGAGGATGAACCAGGAAGACTGGACCTTGTATTCACCTTGAGTAGTTCTGACATCGAGGATATCATGTATGAAAGGCCCCTGGGAGCTAGTGATCATGTGGTTCTGTGCTTTGACTACATAGTTGAGCTCCAAGTGGAGAGAGCAGCAGGAATAGGGTGGGAAAAACCAAACTACAAAAGGGGAACTACTCAGGCTTGAGGAACCTCTTCAAGACATCAGTGGGAGAGGGAACTGACAGGAAAACCAGTACAAGAAATGATGGACTATTGGCACAAAATGCAAAGGGGGCAGAGAAGAGGGTTTTTTCCCAAGGGAAACAGAAATAATGGGAAGAACAGAATGAGTCCTTGGTTCACCCAAAGGTGTAGGGAGGCAAAAATTAGGTGTACTAGAGAATGGAAAAGGTACAGAAGACAGAGAACCAGGAAAATAAAAAGATTAGCCGAAGAGCCAGAAACGAATATGCACAGATAAGAAGGGAGGCTCAGCGGCAATAAAGAAAATGACATAGCATCGAAAGTCAAGACTGGGCCCGAAGCTGTTGTACAGCCACACAGGAGGAAAACAAAAGTCAAGGACCAGGTAATCAGACTGAGGAAGGGTGATGGGGAATTCACAAGAAATGACGGGAGGTATGTCAGGAGCTCAACACAAGATTTAAAGAAGTATTTACAGTGGAAACCAGTAGGACTCCAGGAAATCAGAGCAGGGGGGTGCACCAGCAAGTGCTGGAGAGGTACATATAACCAAGGAGGAGGTGAAGAAGCTGCTATGCGAACTTGACACCTCAAAGGCGGTGGGACCCGACAACATCTCTCTGTGGGTCCTTAAAGAGGGACCAGAGACATTGTGTGTACCATTAACAAAGATCTTCAAAAACATCATTTGAAACTGGGCAACTCCCCGAGGTAAAGAAGATGGCAAATGTAGTCCCCAAATTTTTTAAAAAAGGGGGACAGACAGAGGCACTAAACTACAGACCTGTATCACTAACGTGTATAGTATGCAAGGTCATGGAGAAGATCATCAGGAGGAGAGTGGGTGGAGCACCTGGAAAGAAACAAGTGTATAATTGAACAACCAGCATGGTTTCAGGGAGGGAAAATCCTGTGTCACAAACCTTTAGAGTTTTATGACAAGGTACAGAAGTAAGACAAGAGAGAGAGGGTGGAATCGACTGCATTTTTTTGGACGCAAGAAGGGGCTTCGACACAGTTTTCCCCACAAGAGGTTTTCTGCAAAAGCTTAGAGGATCAGGCACACATAACAGGAAAAGGGACTGCAATGGATAAGAGAATACCTTACAGGGAGGCAACAACAAGTCATGGTACATGATGAGGTGTCAAAGTGGGCGCCTGTGACAAGCGGGGTTCCACAGGGGTCAGTCCAGGACCTGTGCTGTTTTTTGGTATATGTGAATGACATAACGGAAGGGATGGACTCAGAAGTGTCCTTGTTTGTGGACGATGTGAAGTTAACGAGAAGAATCAAATCGGAAAGAGATCAGGCAGGACTACAAAAAGACCTGGACAGGCTACAAGCCTGGTCCAGCAACTGGCTCCTTGAGTTTTAACCCTGCCAAATGCAAAGCCATGAAGATTGGGGAAGGGCAAAGAAGACCGCAGACACAATATAGTTTAGATGGCCCCAAAATCTGCAAACCTCACTCAGGGAAAAAGATCTGGGGGTGAGTATAACACCGAGCATATCTCCTGAGGCGCACATCAATCAGATAACTGCTGCGCATACGGGCGCCTGGCAAACCTACGGATAGCGTTTCCCATACCTCAGTAAGGAATTGTTCAAGACTCTGTATACCATTTACGTCAGGGCCCATACTGGAGTATGCAGCACCAGTTTGGAATCCAACCTAGTCAAGCACGTCAAGAAAATTAGAGAAATGCAAAGGTTTGCGCAACAAGACTGTCCGAGCTACGGGAAATCGGCGAGGGAAATCGGCCTTTCGACACTGGAGGCCAGGAGGGTCAGGGGAGACATGATAACAACATATAAAATACTGCACGGAATAGACGAGGTTTGGACAAAGATGGGGTGTTTCCAGAGATGGGGCACAGAACAAGAGGTCACAATTGGAAGTTGAAGACTCAGATAAATCAAAGGGATGTTAGGAAGTATTTCTTCAGTCATAGAGTAGTCAAGCCGTGGAATAGCCTAGAAAGTGAAGTAGTGGAGGTGGGAACCATACATAGTTTTAAGGCGAGGTATGATAAAGCTCATGGAGCAGGGAGAGAGAGGACCTAGTAGCAATCAGTGAAGAGGCGGGGCCAGGAGCTATGACTCGACCCCTGCAACCACAAATAGGTGAGTACAAATAGGTGAGTACACCTGTTGGATGTCCAAGCCCCTTCCTTCCTAGGAAGACCCCTATCCCTCATTCCTTCCACTACAGACAGACACCCTCCAAGTCATCCTATTCTGCTGTATCCTCTCTAAGTCTAAAGCATCTCAACCCCATCTCAGCTGGATAATACTTTTAGTAACCCTGAACCTCCTCCTAATCTCCAAACTACTAATTCACACCACACCTTGCCCTCAGACATGACATCTCCCAATATAAGGACCAAGTATCTCCTTGACATTCCACATGTACAACTCAACCTGTTCAAAAACTCCATGCAGATAAATGGCCCAAAAATTTCAAGTTCACTGTCTGATAATATCGAAAGTTCCCTATCTGCCAACATATTTACTAATATTGTTAAAAAGCACCTATTAATCTCACATAAATGTTATATTCATTAACTACCTACATGCTTTGTTTCTCACCACCTTAATTCAACCACCCCATAAAATGCAGGTCATTGAACTGAAGTAATTTCAATGTAACTTACTTGTAATTGACCAATTCTTCATTTGAAATCTCATTTTTTTTTTTCAACAAACCGGCCGTATCCCACTAAGGCAGGATGACCCAAAAAGAAAACCGAAAGTTTCTCTTTTTAAATTTAGTAATTTATACAGGAGAAGGGGTTACTAGCCCCTTGCTCCCGGTATTTTAGTCGCCTCTTACAACACGCATGGCTTACGGAGGAAGAATTCTGTTCCATTTGCCCATGGAGATAAGAGGAAACAAACAAGAACAAGAACTAGAAAGAAAATAGAAGAGAACCCAGTGGGGTGTGTATATATATGCTTGTACATGTATGTGTAGTGTTCTAGGTAGTAGGTTGGTAGACAACAACTGCCCAGGGAGGTACTACAGTCCTGCCAAGTGAATGTAAAATGAAAGCCTGTAATTGTTTTACATGACGGTAGGATTGCTGGTGCCCATTTCTCTGTCTCGTAAACATGCAAGGTTTCAGGAACGTCTTGCTACTTCTACTTACGATTAGGTCACATTACACGTATGCGTACAAGCATATATATACACACCCCTCTGGGTTTTCTTCTATTTTCTTACTAGTTTTTTTTTTTTTAACAAGTCAGCCATCTCCCACTAAGGCAGGGTGACCCAAAAAGAAAGAAAATCCCAAAAAAGAAAATACTTTCATCATCATTCAACACTTTCATCTCACTCACACATAATCACTGTTTTTGCAGAGGTGCCCAGAATACAACAGTTTAGAAGCATATATGTATAAAGATACACAACATATCCCTCCAAACTGCCAATATTCCAAACCGGCTATATAAAAATAATTGGTTTCCCTGAATCCCTTCACTAAATATTACCCTGCTCACACTCCAACAGCTCGTCAGGTCCCAAATACTATGTCTCCATTCACTCCTATCGAACACGCTCACACACGCCTGCTGGAAGTCCAAGCCCCTCGCCCACAAAACCTCCCTTACCCCTTCCTTCCAACCTTTTCGAGGACGACCCTTACCCCACCTTCCTTCCCCTACAGATTTATACGCTCTCCATGTCATTCTACTTTGATCTTGTTCTTGATCTTTGTTCTTGTTTATTTCCTCTTATCTCCATGGGGAAGTGGAACAGAATTCTTCCTCCGTAAGCCATGCGTGTTGTAAGAAGCGACTAAAATGCCAGGAGCAAGGGGCTAGTAACCCCTTCTGTATAAATTACTAAATTTAAAAAGAGAAACTTTCGTTTTTCTTTTTGGGCCACCCTGCCTCGGTGGGATACGGCCGGTTTGTTGAAAGAAAGAAGTATGTGCAGTGTGACCTAAGTGTAAGTAAAAGTAGCAAGATGTACCTGTAATCTCACATATTTATGAGACAGACAAGAGAAACCAGCAATCCTACCATCGTATAAAATAATTACCATCTCATTGTACTTATGATTATAATGAATTACCAAGCTGACCTGGCTTGAGTACAGTTTGATTAATTCATTACAATCAAAATGTATTTGAATAATTAGTGGCTTTCTTCTGATCCCTATTTTTTTTTTTTTTTTCAACAAGTCGGTCGTCTCCCACCGAGGCAGGGTGACCCAAAAAAGAAAGAAAATCCCCAAAAAGAAAATACTTTCATCATCATTCAACACTTTCACCACACTCACACATTATCACTGCTTTTGCAGAGGTGCTCAGAATACAACAGTTTAGAAGCATATACGTATAAAGATACACAACATATCCCTCCAAACTGCCAATATCCCAAACCACTCCTTTAAAGTGCAGGCATTGTACTTCCCATTTCCAGGACTCAAGTCCGACTATATGAAAATAACCGGTTTCCCTGAATCCCTTCACTAAATATTACCCTGCTCACACTCCAACAGATCGTCAGGTCCCAAGTATCATTTGTCTCCATTCACTCCTATCTAACATGCTCATGCACACTTGCTGGAAGTCCAAGCCCCTTGCCCACAAAACCTCCTTTACCCCCTCTCTCCAACCCTTTCGAGGACGACCCCTACCCCTCTTTCCTTCCCCTATAGATTTATATGCTTTCCATGTCATTCTACTTTGATCCATTCTCTCTAAATGACCAAACCACCTCAACAACCCCTCTTCTGCCCTCTGACTAATGCTTTTATTAACTCCACACCTTCTCCTAATTTCCACACTCCGAATTTTCTGCATAATATTTACACCACACATTGCCCTTAGACAGGACATCTCCACTGCCTCCAACCGTCTCCTCGCTGCTGCATTTACCACCCAAGCTTCACATCCATATAAGAGTGTTGGTACTACTATACTTTCATACATTCCCTTCTTTGCCTCCATAGATAACGTTTTTTGACTCCACATATACCTCAATGCACCACTCACCTTTTTTCCCTTTTTTTTTCCCCCCTTTTTTCCTTTTTTTACTAAAAAGAATAAGAAGAAAATTGTCTGATCCCTATGTTATACTGAATTATATCTTTTTTTAGAATTTTCTACAGGAGAAGGGGTAACTAGCCCATTGCTCCCGGCATTTTAGTAGCCTCATATGACATGCATTGCTTATGGAGGAAAGATTCTTTTCCACTTTCCCATGGAGAATAGAGGAAATAAAGAAGAATAAGAACTATTAAGAAAAAGAAGAAAAACCTAGATGTGTGTATGTATGTATATGCATGTGCATGCCTGCGTAGTGTGACCTAAGTAGAAGTAACACGATATACCGGTTATCCAACGTGTTTATGAGACAGAAAAGAGGGACACCAGCAATCCTACCATCATGTAAAACAGTTACAGGTTTCTGTTTCAAACTCACTTGGCAGGACGGTAGTACCTCCCTTGGTGGTTACTTTCTACCAACCTACTACCTTAAGCAAGGTAACATTTACAAAAGGATTAAGGGAAACCGGCAGGCCGGACTTGAGTCCTGGAGATGTGAAGTACAGTGCCTTCACTCTGAAGGAGGGGTGTTATGTTGCAGTTTTATTACTGTAGTGTAAGCGTGCCTCTGGCAAGACAGTGATAGAGTGAATGATAAAAGTTTTTTTTTTCAGGCCACCCTAGGGGCCTTGGTGGGAGACGGCTGATGTGTTAATAAAAAATAAAAAAATAGTAAGGTCAAATTTAAAATATAATAAATCTGAATGTATATCTACAGTAACTAATATTTATGGATCATAAGAGACAGAAAAAAATTATTTTCTTAATTCTATTTAATTTTATGGTCTTCATTTCACTTTTTGTTGCTTTGGTTTTTCTTATTCTACAACCATAACACAGAACACTTACCCATATCCTAATTCCAGCATTTTGTCTTTGATTTTCATGAATACTTCATCTTTACAACCATGGGAAGAGGATGCAGTTGGCTGGTATATGAGGTACAAATCGAGAAGATGGTTTACTGCTTCATGATTCCAGTAGATTATCTCCACATCTAGAGTAGTGACAACATGAAAGCACTAAAAATAATATATGATAAACCACTAATTAAAAATGTAAACAACCCGTACAGTATTTCATAAAAATATAATTGAATAAAATATTACATAGAATGGATAAATGAATTAAAGTATATACATATACTGTAGTACGTTGGTAGACAGCAACCATCCAGGGAGGTACTACTGTCCTGCCAAATGAGTGTGAGACAGAAACCTGTACAGTGGTACCTCAAGTTTTTTTTTTTTATTATCACACTGGCCGATTCCCACCAAGGCAGGGTGGCCCGAAAAAGAAAAACTTTCACCATCATTCACTCCATCACTGTCTTGCCAGAAGGGTGCTTTACACTACAGTTTTTAAACTGCAACATTAACACCCCTCCTTCAGAGTGCAGGCACTGTACTTCCCATCTCCAGGACTCAAGTCCGGCCTGCCGGTTTCCCTGAACCCCTTCATAAATGTTACTTTGCTCACACTCCAACAGCACGTCAAGTATTAAAAACCATTTGTCTCCATTCACTCCTATCAAACACGCTCACGCATGCCTGCTGGAAGTCCAAGCCCCTCGCACACAAAACCTCCTTTACCCCCTCCCTCCAACCTTTCCTAGGCCGACCCCTACCCCGCCTTCCTTCCACTACAGACTGATACACTCTTGAAGTTATTCTGTTTCGCTCCATTCTCTCCACATGTCCGAACCACCTCAACAACCCTTCCTCAGCCCTCTGGACAACAGTTTTGGTAATCCCGCACCTCCTCCTAACTTCCAAACTACGAATTCTCTGCATTATATTCACACCACACATTGCTCTCAGACATGACATCTCCACTGCCTCCAGCCTTCTCCTCGCTGCAACATTCATCACCCATGCTTCACACCCATATAAGAGCGTTGGTAAAACTATACTCTCATACATTCCCCTCTTTGCCTCCTCAAGTTACGAACTTAATTTGTTCCAGAAGGCTGTTCGAGTGCCAATACCGAACAAATCTGTTCCCATAAGGAATACTGTAATGTAAATTAGATTAGTCCGTTTTAGACCCCCAAAAATACACTTGCAAAAGCACTTACAAAAATACACTTACATAATTGTTCGAGTTGGGAGCTGTTCGAAACTCGAGGTACCACTGTATTTGTTTTACATGATGGTAGGAGTCCTGGTGTCTTTTTTCTGTCTCATAAACACACAAGATAATAGGTATATCTTGCTACTTTTATTTACAATTAGGTCACAATACACATGCATATACACATTTAGTTTACACACACATCAGAGTTTTCTTTTATTTTTTCTTAATAGTTCTTGTTCTTATTATTTCCTTTCATCTCTATGGACAATGAGCCATGTATGTTGTAAAAGTCAACTAAAATGCGAGGAGCAGTGGACTAGTAACCACTTCTCCTGTATAGCTTACTAAAATTAAAAAGAAATCCTTGAAGTTGGGGTGTTTGAATGTGCATGAATGTAGTGTAGATGATAGGAGATAATTGTGGATGTTATGAATGAGAAGAAGCTGGACATCCTGGCTCTAAATGAAACAAAGCTGAAGGGGGTAGGAAAGTTTCAGTAGGGAGAAATAAATTGGATTAGGTCAGGAGTCTTCCATAGGGTTAGAGCTAAGGAAGAAGTAGCTATAATGTTGAAGGATCAGTTATGGCAGGAAAAGAGGGAACATAAGTGTATAAATTCAAGGATTATGTGGAGCAAACTATGGGTCAGATGTGAAAAGTGGGTTATAGTACAAAAGTGGGTAAAACTGTTGTGGAGGGAGTAGCAGGTAAGTTTGGGGTGCCAGGGGTAAATGAAAATGGGGGACCTTTAATTGAACTACAGTAGACCCTCATATTACACAGATTTATTTGGCACTCTTTGGTTATTACACTATTGAAAAACTGCGGCATAATTTTATACAACACTTCATAAAATTAATTTAACACGGTTCAGTTTTTGGGAGGAGAAAAAATCTGGAGCATTACCCATGGGATATTTCCCTAGCTCAGGCCACCACCTGGCCGTGGGTGAAACCACTGTCTCTGCAGGGTTGCAGCGGGCTTCAAGGGAGCAAAAGATAGCTTCACCTTGCTCCTTTCCAGTAATGCATCAGGTGATTTAAAGTGTAAGCCCATGGTTATTTACTGCTCTAAGAATCCTTGTGCTTTGAAAGGTGTAGATAAAAACACCTTACCAGTAATTTGAAGGTCAAACCAGTCGGCATGGATGACAGGAATTATTTACTGACTGGTTTAAGCATCACTTTATTCCTGAAGTCAAGATTTACCTGCACAGCAAGAACCTTGCATTCAAAGCTCTCTTCATTCTTGATAATTCCCATACTCATCCAGAAGCTTTGCTGGATGTGACCCCACATGTAAAAGTTGTATTTTTACCTCTAACTACATCTTTAATACAACCACTGGATTGGGGAGTTAAGTCATTCAAGTGTAACTACACAAGAAAAGTGATGAAAAACTAGTTTCATCAATGGACTCTGACTCCAACCTGGCAGTATCAAGCCTCTGGAATAATGTATAATGTACTCCTAGGTAAAAGAAGCCAGAGATCCATTATGGAATTTATGCACACTCCAATACAACCATTCCCTTAATACCAGAACCTTACCCATCCACTTCTGCTGACAACCAACAACCATCCACCTTAGCCCAGTAGGGCCACACCATGCATCTCCACTCTTCACAATTACTGACATACACCAGCAACCACAATTTAAGGTAAAAAATATTATGTTGCATTTGTAGTCTTAAGCAACAAAAACATTATTATTTTTATTTTTGTAAGATTTGGGTGTCTAAAAAAAAAAGTTGTTTGGCTTTTGGGAGGGTCCCAAGAATGTAACCCTATTTTTTCCACAAGTTCTTCAGTTTATATAACACGGATTTATCTAATGCGGCATTTTCAGGAACATAGCTACCGTGTAATATGAGGGGCTATTGTATGCACAGAAAGAAGTTTGGTAATAATACATATTTTAAGAAAAAGAGAATATGTAAATACACAAGATATGATATAGCACATAATGAAAGTAGGTTGTTGGATTATGTACTGGTGGATAAAAGGTTGATGGGCAGACTTAAGCATGTGCATGTTTATAAAGGGGCAACATACATATCATTATTTAGTCGATAATTAAGGCACATGTTCGACAGTTAGGTATCTTTATTCTAAAACGTTTCACTTACACAGTAGGCTTCTTCAGTAGAGCTCAAAAGAGTTAGCAGAAATAGTAAAGACGTGAAGACAATAATCAGTCCTTCACCCTTAAGGATCGGGGTAACCCTTACTATCTTGAGTATGGATGGGAATGTTGAAGATTCCACTGATATGTTTAACAAAGTTGCAATAATAGGCAACAGCATGAGCCTCTTTTTTCTACATGAGTGGTGGCAAGTTATTTAGGTTTCCTGTCTTGTTTTTTCAGTGACTTTATGATGAGTGAGACTTCAGTAGGATTAGTAGGAGCTAGGTATTGAGTACATTGGTAATTTCCAGTGAGGAAGTCTCTCGCCTGAGTATTTGAGGCTAGGATTTTGCTTGCTAGTTTTGATCCTATACAGTAGTAAAGAAGAAAACATCAAGTTTGTTGGCAGCGTCTGCAGATTGGATATGTGATTCATTTGGTTTAGTTAATTTTATAACTCTGTTTCTGGACAGTTTTCTAGAGCCCAGGATTTCAGAGAGGGTTTTCCAGGTCTTTTTTCATCTCCCCTTTTATTTCATTAAATCAGCTTGCATAATACAGTTATTTAGACTTCCATATTAGATTTGTAAGTACTGACATGTATTGTTTTGTCTATTCATTTGTCATTAAGCCCAGTCTGAACTGTTTTTCATAGTGATGCTGTTTTATCAATGGATTTGAGGATCAGTTTATAAGCTATGGGCTGTTTAATCTCTCTCTGCTGTGATCTGCTTAGTTTTAATTGGACAATGCCTTTTATATTCATCAATATCATGGCTGTCGGCTAGCTCTCTGTGCCAATGTTACTTAATGATGAAATAAAGTTATTTACTGATGGATCGTCATGAAATCGTAATGAAATCTTACTTGTGCCTTGAGGCAATTTACATAAGTTAGTTATGGGAAGGTGGGGTAGTGGTCTGTAGTGTTATCTGTGATTATCCCTGCTTTTAGTGAGGATATAGTGTTGGTCCAGATATGGTCAAGTAATGAGGCACTTGTCTCAAAAGATTCCTGTTGACTTAGTTATAGATGGTAGTAGCAAAGTAGCAATCAGTTCTTCATAGTGTTAATGAAGTCAGCTACTTGAGGGTCACCTGCTTGGACAAGGTTTATGTTGAAGTCACCAGCAAGTATCAGGTAGTGTTCATTCATCTCTGAGTCAGTTATAATGCTTTGTAGGCTATCACAAAAAGCGTAAGAATTGGTGTGAGGTAACCTGTAGACTGCTCCAGCTGTAATAAGTTTGTTTAGGTTTTTAGACGAGAATTTTGCAACTGTATATTCACTATTTTCGTCCCTGGTGGAAGTAGATTTAACACATTCTAATTCATCAGTGTAGTAGATAGCAGTGCCACTTCTTAACTGATCAGGCCTACAGTTTATATATGGCTGTGTAACCAGGTAAGGCAAAGATGTCTGTTAAGTCACGTTCAAGCCAGGTTTCAGTAAGAATAATGACAGACATGTTAACATTTAGAGAATTAAGCAGTGCTAAGAGGTCATCGTAATGTTTACTCAGTGATCAAACATTATAATTGAATACAGTTATGTTCTTGGTGGCACTGAGAAAAGTTTTTGTGACATGTAGTGTAATAATATCTGGAGAGTAATATCTGGATTGATATTTGCATCCATAAGACTAATAGAGAATTTAAGTATGTACTAGCAATAGGGAAATAGAAAGTACTCTTGTTTTAGTTTTTTTTTTTTTTTTTTAACAAATCGGTCGTCTCCCACCGAGGCAGGGTGACCCAAAAAAGAAAGAAAATCCCCAAAAAGAAAATACTTTCATCATCATTCAACACTTTCACCACACTCACACATTATCACTGCTTTTGCAGAGGTGCTTAGAATACAACAGTTTAGAAGCATATACGTATAAAGATACACAACATATCCCTCCAAACTGAAATATAAACATGAGTGTCTGTGGTTCGATTCCCAGCAAGGGTGACCATGGCGTAATAGCGCACAAAATGCGCGCTAAAGGAATAACAGGAAAAGTTGGTAGATGGATCTATTATTTCCTGACAAAAATAACACAAAGAGTAGTAGTCAACAGAGTAAACTCTGAGGCGGCTACTGTGAAAAGCTCTGTTCCGCAAGGCACAGTACTCACTCCCATCTCGTTCCTCATCCACATATCTGACATAGACAGGGATGTAAGCCACAGCACCGTGTCTTCCTTTGCAGATGACACCTGAATCTGCATGACAGTGTCTTCCATTGCAGACACTGCAAGGCTCCAGGCAGACATCAACCAAATCTTTCAATGGGCTGCAGAAAACAATATGAAGTTCAACGATGAGAAATTTCAATTACTCCAATATGGTAAACATGAGGAAATTAGAACTTCATCAGAGTATAAAACAAATTTCAACCACACAATAGAGTGAAAAATTAACGTCAAAGATCTGGGAGTGATCATGTCGGAGGATCTCATCTTCAAGGACCATAACATTGTATCAATTGCATCTGCTAGAAAAATGTAATAATGTTGGTAGGATTACCGACAATATGTAAAGTAAAAGGACACAAGTGCAACTAATGTGACATTTTATTGTGGCAATGTTTCGGCTTGACAAAGCTCCTGGAGAGCAAAACGTTGCCACAATAAAATGTCACATTAGTAGCACTTGTGTCCTTTTACTTTGCTAGAAAAATGACAGGATGGATAATGAGAACCTTCAAAACTAGGGATGCCAAGCCCATGATGACACTCTTCAGGTCGCTTGTTCTATCTAGGCTGAAAATTGCTGCACACTAACAGCACCTTTCAAGGAGGTGAAATTGCTGACCTAGAAAATGTACAGAGAACCTTCATTGCACGCATAACTGAGATAAGACACCTCAATTACTGGGTGTGCTTGAAGTTCCTGAACCTGTACTCCCTGGAATGCAGGCGGTAGAGATACACGAATATATACACCTGGAAAATCCTAGAGGGACTAGTACCAAACTTGCACACGAAAATCACTCCCTACTAAAGCAAAAGACTCGGCAGATGATGCAACATCACCAGCACGTTAAGAGACAACACAATGAGTGTCAGGGGCCCAAGACTGTTCAACTGCCTCCCAGCATACATAATGGGGATTACCAATAGACCCCTGGCTGTCTTCAAGCAGACACTGGACAAGCACCTAAAGTCAGTACCTGACCAGCCAGGCTGTGGTTCGTACATTGGATTGTGTGCAGCCAGCAGTAACAGCCTGGTTGATCAGGCCCTGATCCACCATGAGGCCTGGTCACAGACCAGGCTGTGGGGGCGTTGACCCCCGGAACTCTCTCCAGGAAAGCTAGGTGTGTTTCATTACACCTGTTATCCCATTCATCTAGCAAGCAAGTAGGTACCTAGGTGTTAGTCAACTGGTGTGGGTCACATCCTGGGAAACAAAATTGAGGACCCCAATGCAAATAAGACAGACAGTCCCTCGATGATGCACTGACTTTATTGGGTTATCCTGGGTGGCTAACCCTTCGGGGTTAAAAATCCAAACAAAATCTTATCATATCTTACTACTAACCACTAAAAAAAAAATTAATGATTTGTTAAGTAAATACACTATTCAGATTAAATTAGATATGACTTTAGCATCTGAATGAGCACCTGGCTTAGCACCTGATATTGCACAAATACTAACAAACTGTTAACAACACAGTAAAAATAATGGAAATAGTTGAAATTATACACACACTTTCATTAACTGCCATTGCTTAGACAGTCAATATACAGAAAATGGAATGAAGTTCTAGACAATCATTAACCCTTTCACTGTCGAGACCCCTGCTCACAAACTTGCTCTCAGTGTCAAAGAATTTAAAAAAATAAAAATTATTTTCTCATGAAATGATAGAGAACTTTTTCCAATGGTAATGACACCAAAAGTACGAAATTTGATGGAAAACTTAAGGAATTACGCTCTTGCAGAGTTAGCGGTCTCGGCGATGTTTACATGTCGGCGATTTTGCCCAATTTGAGCCCTATTTTCGGCAAATTCCATTGTTCCAGCCGACCAAACTCATAGCTATTTCATTAGAACTCCTTTTGTTCTATCGATTGAGTACAAGAAACTGCCCCTTTACTGATTTCAACCACTCAATAAAGTGATCAGAATTTGGTAATTTGGCCAACTTCATACACAATTCAAGGAAGGCCAATTTCAAAATAGGGTCCAGAATTAACACTGCAAATATTCCTGGCACTAAAACAACATTTTCTTTCTTCATTAGTCATATCTCCAGGCCCCTCTTATATTACACTTGCTTTCCCTTTTGAATTTTTATTCACACAAATCATAGAAGATTTACTGTTATGTAGACTACTGCATTATTGTAAAAATGGTATAAATACTATCAGTGCATTTGTGAAAGCATGTCAGACCCACCAGTTGATGTGTATTAGACGCGTGACATGATTTGTTTACTCTTCAACATCGGCAAAAATTGAACATTTCTGCTACTTTGAACTCAATTTCAAGGTACTTTTAGTCTGTAAACCACTCAAAATCATCTCTAGTTCTATAACATGTCTTCCATTCTATCAAATGAGACCAAGAAAACAAGGATACAACCATAAATACCGTAAGAAAATACACCACAAAGTCGCTGTTCTAAACGAAAAACAGGGTCGAAGTTTTTTTTTCTCATTATGCGCTGCGTGCTGCAGGATTTTTTTTATACTGCGCACATTGACCACTCAGACCCATTCTCTCATATGTAGGTCTACCAGCTTTCTCCCACAAGATTTGAAGCCAATAGATTATTATTAATACTATTATTATTATTATTACAATTAAGGGGGAAGCGCTAAACCCATAGGATTATACAGCGCCTGTGAGGGGATGTGGAAGGTATTCAGGTTTAATTCAGGAAACTGGAACACAGATCCAATTCCCTAGATCAAGAGCCCCTCACCAGCATGAAGGAACCTTCCTTGAGGGGTGAAACCGCTAGAATTTTGGCATACTATTACGGGACTGACACTGACTTGCAAGCCATAATATTACAGGACCGACAGTGAAAGAGTTAGTTACAAATTATAAAAAATTTATAATTTACAATCAATAAAAAACTAACCTCCAGTGAACTTAGAGACATCAGGACTGTAACAGACAGCTTCTTCAGTCTCTTTTACTCGTTGCATCTCTTCAATAAATGGAAACAGATTTCCTTGGGAATACCCCTGGCGTAATAAACCAAAGTGAATTGCTATCTGTTGAAGTAAATATTAGGTATCAAATATATTTTATAGCAGAGAATGTATAATTTGATTACAATTCATCATATGCATGAAAAGTGCACTTTATTTCTATGAATCAGTTCTGCTGAACCTTTTACAGCTGAGACTCTATCTCTCTAACCACAAATGACGAGGTATAGTGTTATTTCTAAAACACCAGATTTGGACCACCCAGCCATACCTTCATTCAGTTATATCTCTATCTGCCTTCCCACCAAATGAATTAAATGTTTTTCATTTATAAAAACAGATCCTCTTTATCATAAGAAATATTCACATAACAGAAGCCATCAGGCCAATACCATCAAATTTATCAGATACTACTGATACTGGCACCAATAACAGTACAGTATCTCCTCACTTGACAATGTACTCGTTTAACAACTGCTTGGACTTACGACCAGCTCTCTGACCAGTATGCATAGCAAAGAAGTGTATATTGGAGCTGATTTTCTCTATTCTGTTTATTACAATATACCCTACATTACTGTATAAACATTAAAAAATATACAAAAAATTTTATAAATGGTGCAAATGTGACATTAAAAAATATCTAAAGATGGTTTACACAAACCCACCAATTCATTTACCGACCTATTATTAGGAACAGAACTCCATCATTTACCCTTAAACTGTCCAAACGTATATCTACGTTTGCTCGCATAGCGCTCTGAACGTAGATCTATGTTTTTTTACATGCTTTCAAATGGAGAAAATCAAGGTCGGAGTGCTACACACGTAAATGTAGACATATGTTTGGACAGTTTAAGGTTAAGTGAGGAGAGACTGTATTATAAGAAGTGACCAATACCCACTGATACCAATACAGTAAACTCTCAATATACAAACTTTTAAAATTGTAAGGCAAAATCCACTGGTTAAATTGTACTTTTAACTCATTTATTTTCAATGTTTATTGCAGTATATCTATAAAAGATGTGTTGTGTATCTTTATACGTATATGCTTCTAAACTGTTGTATTCTGAGCACCTCTGCAAAAGCAGTGATAATGTGTGAGTGTGGTGAAAGTGTTGAATGATGATGAAAGTATTTTCTTTTTGGGGATTTTCTTTCTTTTTTGGGTCACCTTGCCTCGGTGGGAGACGACCGACTTGTTGAAAAAAAAAAAAAAAAATCTATAAAAGAATAAGAAGAAGAAAATTGTCAAAGTGGGAAGTCTGAATGTGCGTGGATGTTGTGCGAATGATAAGAAAGAGATGATTGTGGATGTTATGAATGAGAAGAAGCTGGATGTCCTGGCTTTAAGTGAAACAAAGCTGAAGGGGTTGGGAGAGTTTCAATGGAGAGGAATAAATGGGATTAGGTCAGGGGTTTCAAATAGAGTTAGAGCTAAAGAAGGAGTAGCAACAATGTTGAAGGATAAGCTATGGCAGGAAAAGAGGGACTATAAATGTATTAATTCAAGGATTATGTGGAGTAAAATAAAGGTTGGATGTGAAAAGTGGGTTATAATAAGCGTGTATGCACCTGGAGAAGAGAGAAGTGTAGAGGAGAGAGAGAGATTTTGGGAAATGTTGAGTGAATGCGTGGGGAGTTTTGAATCAAGTGTGAGAGTAATGGTGGTTGGGGATTTCAATGCTAAAGTGGGTAAAAATGTTATGGAGGGAGTAGTAAGTAAATTTGGGGTGCCAGGGGTAAATGTAAATGGGGAGCCTTTAATTGAGCTATGCGTAGAAACAGATTTGATAATAAGTAATACATATTTTATGAAAAAGAGGATAAATAAATATACAAGGTATGATGTAGCACGTAATGAAAGTAGTTTATTAGATTATGTATTGGTGGATAAAAGGTTGATGGGTAGGCTCCAGGATGTACATGTTTATAGAGGGGCAACTGATATATCGGATCATTATTTAGTTGTAGCTACAGTTAGAGTAAGAGGTAGATGGGAAAAGAGGAAGGTGGCAACAACAAGTAAGAGGGAGGTGAAAGTGTATAAACTAAGGGAGGAGGAAGTTCGGGTGAGATATAAGCGACTATTGGCAGAAAGGTGGGCTAGTGCAAAGGTGAGTAGTGGGGGTGGGGTTGAAGAGGGTTGGAATAGTTTTAAAATGCAGTATTAGAATGTGGGGCAGAAGTTTGTGGTTATAGGAGGGTGGGGGCAGGAGGAAAGAGGAGTGATTGGTGGAATGATGAAGTAAAGGGAGTGATAAAAGAGAAAAAGGTAGCTTATGAGAGGTTTTTACAAAGCAGATGTGTTATAAGAAGAGCAGAGTATATGGAGAGTAAAAGAAAGGTAAAGAGAGTGGTGAGAGAGTGCAAAAGGAGAGCAGATGATAGAGTGGGAGAGGCACCGTCAAGAAATTTTAATGAAAATAAGAAAAAATTTTGGAGTGAGTTTAACAAGTTAAGAAAGCCTAGGGAAAGTATGGATTTGTCAGTTAAAAAGAGAGTAGGGGAGTTAGTAGATGGGGAGATGGAGGTATTAGGTAGATGGAGAGAATATTTTGAAGAACTTTTAAATGTTAAGGAAGAAAGAGAGGCAGTAATTTCATGCACTGGTCAGGGAGGTATACCATCTTTTAGGAGTGAAGAAGAGCAGAATGTAAGTGTGGGGGAGGTACGTGAGGCATTACATAGAATGAAAGGGGTAAAGCAGCTGGAACTGATGGGATCATGACAGAAATGTTAAAAGCAGGGGGGGATATAGTGTTCGAGTGGTTGGTACTTTTGTTTAATAAATGTATGAAAGAGGGGAAGGTACCTAGGGATTGGCGGACAGCATGTATAGTCCCTTTATATAAAGGGAAAGGGGACAAAAGAGACTGTAAAAATTATAGAGGAATAAGTTTACTGAGTATACCAGGAAAAGTGTATGGTAGGGTTATAATTGAAATAATTAGAGGTAAGACAGAATGTAGGATTGCGGATGAGCAAGGAGGTTTCAGAGTGGGTAGGGGATGTGTAGATCAAGTGTTTACATTGAAGCATATATGTGAATAGTATTTAGATAAAGGTAGGGAAGTTTTTATTGCATTTATGGATTTAGAAAAGGCATATGATAAAGTGGATAGAAGAGCAATGTGGCAGATGTTGCAAGTATATGGAATAGGTGGTAAGTTATTAAATGCTGTAAAGAGTTTTTATGAGGATAGTGAGGCTCAGGTTAGGGTGTGTAGAAGAGAGGGATACTACTTCCCGGTAAAAATAGGTCTTACACAGGGATGTGTAATGTCACCATGGTTGTTTAATATATTTATAGATGGGGTTGTAAAGGAAGTAAATGCTAGGGTGTTCGGGAGAGGGGTGGGATTAAATTTTGGGGAATCAAATTCAAAATGGGAACTGACACAGTTACTTTTTGCTGATGATACTGTGCTTATGGGAGATTCTAAAGAAAAATTGCAAAGGTTAGTGGATGAGTTTGGGAATGTGTGTAAAGGTAGAAAGTTGAAAGTGAACATAGAAAAGAGTAAGGTGATGAGGGTATCAATTGATTTAGATAAAGAAAAATTGGATATCAAATTGGGGAGGAGGAGTATGGAAGAAGTGAATGTTTTCAGATACTTGGGAGTTGACGTGTCGGCGGATGGATTATGAAGGATGAGGTTAATCATAGAATTGATGAGGGAAAAAAGGTGAGTGGTGCATTGAAGTATATGTGGAGTCAAAAATGTTATCTATGGAGGCAAAGAAGGGAATGTATGAAAGTATAGTAGTACCAACACTCTTATATGGGTGTGAAGCTTGGGTGGTAAATGCAGCAGCGAGGAGACGGTTGGAGGCAGTGGAGATGTCCTGTTTAAGGGCAAGATGTGGTGTAAATATTATGCAGAAAATTCGGAGTGTGGAAATTAGGAAAAGGTGTGGAGTTAATAAAAGTATTAGTCAGAGGGCAGAAGAGGGGTTGTTGAGGTGGTTTGGTCATTTAGAGAGAATGGATCAAAGTAGAATGACATGGAAAGCATATAAATCTATAGGGTAAGGAAGGCGGGGTAGGGGTCGTCCTTGAAAGGGTTGGAGAGAGGGGGTAAAGGAGGTTTTGTGGGCGAGGGGCTTGGACTTCCAGCAAGCGTGCATGAGCGTGTTAGATAGGAGTGAATGAAGACGAATGGTACTTGGGACCTGACGATCTGTTGGAGTGTGAGCAGGGTAATATTTTAGTGAAGGGATTCAGGGGAAACCGGTTATTTTCATATAGTCGGACTTGAGTCCTGGAAATGGGAAGTACAATGCCTGCACTTTAAAGGAGGGGTTTGGGATATTGGCAGTTTGGATGGATATGTTGTGTATCTTTATATGTGTATGCTTCTAAACTGTTGTATTCTGAGCACCTCTGCAAAAACAGTGATAATGTGTGAGTGTGGTGAAAGTGTTGAATGATGATGAAAGTATTTTCTTTTTGGGGATTTTCTTTCTTTTTTGGGTCACCCTGCCTCGGTGGGAGACAGCCGACTTGTTGGAAAAAAAAAAAAAATCTATAAATTGTGTACAGTACTCCATTAGGTATACAGTACAGTACCTTACTATTTTTTAACATCATTCTGATATAATGGACACCCCCTATTTGTCAGTTATATCAAAGGTTCACTGTACTACTTAGTTTTAGGCTGATACCAGTACTATCAAAACTAGCTGATACTAATAGTGATAATGATACTATGACACACCTTTAGTTCTAATGTATAGTTCAACCCTATAATTTGCTAGGGGTTAGGTTCCTCGAGGTGGTGTGAATCTGCAAGTCTCGGATAATACAAAATTTTGTATACCAATGTTATTTACAAGTTTTTGGCCATATCACTTTTAAGTATTTGTCTAAAATGTTTAATATTGACATTCATAAGAAAGAACGAGCACATTTTGAATGAAAGCCTAAAATGGTTTTTCAATTTAGGGGTCATACATCAAGCAAAAAACAATGGGCACTAAGAAAAAATGTGAGTAAGTGAATCTATCCACAAAATGGATTTCAGTAAAAATGTTATACTATAATGAAAGCACATGGACTTAAAAAAAAAACAAATTCCAGGACTGAATTGCATATAAAATTGCAGTATTCCTCCAATGCATTATATTTTTAACACTAAAAATATTCTATAATAAATTTCATTAAAGATCTCATCTTAAAAATTCACATAAATGAGTAATTAATATTAAGCTCGCATTTTGTTTTAAACAGTTCACCTCTGGAACATCTCGCTTTGGATATCCTGTAGCAGCATAGGCCTTAGCAACCTGGAGCCAGAGATCACTGGTGTGATAGTTCACATTCTGACTAACATGGGACTCGAGCACATCAGGATAAACTTGCAACAGAGCTCTTGATTCATCTGATGACCATAACTGCTGACTCGCCTCTGTCAAACAAATTAAGCTTCATAATAAGTCAGCAACATAATATTTAAAGATACTATAGTTTTAAAGTACTGTATAAAAACATACTTTCTGTGATCAGGTACCTTGACCATTACAGGAATAGGGACCTACCTGTTTGGCCTCTATAACACAGAGCTTAAACTCTTTCTAGAGAGCTGCAACAGAACACACAGACACAATACAAGGAGCAAGTATTTTTTTTTTATCACACTGGCCGATTCCCACCAAGGCAGGGTGGCCCGAAAAAGAAAAACTTTCACCATCATTCACTCCAAGGAGCAAGTATCTCCTTAATATACCACTTGTATGACTTGACCCATCTAGGCTCAAAAATATGGAACATACTGCCTGAAAATACCATAAGTTCCTTATCTGCCAACAACTTTAATAATATTGTTAAAGAACCCCTATTAAATTTTATTTAAATGTTATTTCAAGTAATTGATGATAAATATTCAAGCATTGTTATTATCACAATAGTTCTACCGCCACTACCACTGATCTGATACAAATTTATGTACGTAAATTATCTTCAACTGTCAAATATGTCACTTTCAACCTGTCTCATTATAAATTCTTTTTCAACATATAACCTACTCTTATTAACTGTTTTCTGAATATCAGCTGCCTAATGACTAGAATGAATTACTCATGCTGCACTGTCACACAATGCTGACTAAAATTATTATACTGTATTTTAGTTTTCTTTAAATCTTCTTTATTACAAGAGAATTATTTTTATGAATAAAGTATTTTATTTGATAAGAAAATGCCACAATTATAACATCAAAGGTAATAAAGTAATATACTGAATTTATATAAAAACAACACATGTAAAAGTAAAACTTACGAAGTCTTAGCCGGAATTTCCTCTTAGTCCTCATTTCCATTGTTCTAGAAATCTGTATGTGTGGCCAACGATTGTACACCCCATAAATCTCAGCAAGATCACGATAAAAGGGAACATCTCGACGTATGGCTCCTGGAAGACTGTTATGGTACTGGCATTTCTCAAAACCTTTAATCATTCCATTAAGAATTTCTTTTAACTTGAATGTTGTAAAACTAAAACCATCATTTTCCACTTTCTGGAAAAAAAAATAGCAATATAAATATATTTACATTCTATTGTGCCTTCAATATACGATATGTTATCCAAGATAGAGTGCATTATTAATTAGGGGAAAAAAAAAAAGATGGGTTGAGTGGTAAGGAAGTGCAAAAGGAATCAATAAAAAAAAAAATGAAAAATCTGCTGTGAATAAGATAAGAGAGATTAATAAGACAAGAATGGCTGGGGAGCAAATGGATGTGACACTTAAAAACAAAAGAGGGGAGATGTTAAACTGGGAGGTGAAGATAATGAAAAATGTAGAGAATATTTTGAAGAGCTGTTAACCCTTAAACTGTCCAAGCAGATCTATGTTCACATGCACAGTGCTCCAAAAGTAGATCTACCTGGAGTTTACCTGGAGAGAGTTCCGGGGGTCAACGCCCCCGCGGCCCGGTCTGTGACCAGGCCTCCTGGTGGATCAGAGCCTGATCAACCAGGCTGTTGCTGCTGGCTGCACACAAACCAACGTACGAGCCACAGCCCGGCTGGTCAGGAACCGACTTTAGGTGCTTGTCCAGTGCCAGCTTGAAGACTGCCAGGGGTCTGTTGGTAATCCCCCTTAGGTATGCTGGAGGCAGTTGAACAGTCTCGGGCCCCTGACACTTATTGTATGGTCTCTTAACGTGCTAGTGACACCCCTGCTTTTCATTGGGGGGATGTTGCATCGTCTGCCAAGTCTTTTGCTTTCGTGGTGAGTGATTTTCGTGTGCAAGTTCGGTACTAGTCCCTCTAGGATTTTCCAGGTGTATATAATCATGTATCTCTCCCGCCTGCATTCCAGGGAATACAGGTTCAGGAACCTCAAGCGCTCCCAGTAATTGAGGTGTTTTATCTCCGTTATGCGCACCATGTAGGTTCTCTGTACATTTTCTAGGTCAGCAATTTCACCTGCCTTGAAAGGTGCTGTTAGTGTGCAGCAATATTCCAGCCTAGATAGAACAAGTGACCTGAAGAGTGTCATCATGGGCTTGGCCTCCCTAGTTTTGAAGGTTCTCATTATCCATCCTGTCATTTTTCTAGCAGATGCGATTGATACAATGTTATGGTTCTTGAAGGTGAGATCCTCCGACATGATCACGCCCAGGTCTTTGACGTTGGTGTTTCGCTCTATTTTGTGGCCAGAATTTGTTTTGTACTCTGATGAAGATTTAATTTCCTCGTGTTTACCATATCTGAGTAATTGAAATTTCTCATCGTTGAACTTCATATTGTTTTCTGCAGCCCACTGAAAGATTCGGTTGATGTCCGCCTGGAGCCTTGCAGTGTCTGCAATGGAAGACACTGTCATGCAGATTCGGGTGTCATCTGCAAAGGAAGACACGGTTGCTGTGGCTGACATCCTTGTCTATGTCGGATATGAGGATGAGGAACAAGATGGGAGCTAGTACTGTGCCTTGTGGAACAGAGCTTTTCACCGTAGCTGCCTCGGACTTTACTCTGTTGACGACTACTCTCTGTGTTCTGTTAGTGAGGAAATTATAGATCCATCGACCGACTTTTCCTGTTATTCCTTTAGCACGCATTTTGTGCGCTATTACGCCATGGTCACACTTGTCGAAGGCTTTTGCAAAGTCTGTATATATTACATCTGCATTCTTTTTATCTTCTAGTGCATTTAGGACCTTGTCGTAGTGATCCAATAGTTGACACAGACAGGAGCGACCTGTTCTAAACCCATGTTGCCCTGGGTTGTGTAACTGATGGGTTTCTAGATGGGTGGTGATCTTGCTTCTTAGGACCCTTTCAAAGATTTTTATGATATGGGATGTTAGTGCTATCAGTCTGTAGTTCTTTGCTGTTGCTTTACTGCCCCTTTGTGGAGTGGGGCTATGTCTGTTGTTTTTAGTAACTGTGGGCGACCCCCGTGTCCATGCTCCCTCTCCATAGGATGGAAAAGGCTCGTGATAGGGGCTTCTTGCAGTTCTTGATAAACACGGAGTTTCCATGAGTCTGGCCCTGGGGCAGAGTGCATGGGCATGTCATTTATCGCCTGTTCGAAGTCATTTGGCGTCAGGATAACATCGGATAGGCTTTGTTAACCAAATTTTGTGGCTCTCTCATAAAAAATTAATTTTGATCTTCGACTCTCAGTCTGGTTAGCGGCTTGCTAAAAACTGAGTCATATTGGGACTTGAGTAGCTCACTCATTTCCTTGCTGTCATCTGTGTAGGACCCATCTTGTTTAAGTAGGGCCCAATACTGGATGTTGTTCTCGACTTTGATTTGGCATAAGAGAAGAAATACTTTGGGTTTCTTTCGATTTCATTTATGGCTTTTAGTTCTTCCCGCGATTCCTGACTCCTATAAGATTCCTTAGCTTGAGTTCGATGCTTGCTATTTCTCTGACCAGTGTCTCCCTACGCCATTTCAGATATATTGACCTCTTTTAGCCGCTCTGTTATTCTTTTCCTTCGCCTGTAAAGGGAGCGCCTGTCTCTTTCTATTTTACATCTACTCCTCCTTTTTCTTAGAGGAATAAGCCTTGTGCATACATCGAGTGCCACCAAGTTAATCTGTTCTAGGCATACGTTGGGGGTCTGTGTTGCTTAGTATATCTTCCCAGCTTATATTGGTTAGGACTTGGTTTACTTGGTCCCACTTTATGTTTTTTTTATTGAAGTTGAATTTGGTGAATGTTCCCTCGTGACTAGTCTCATTATGTCGGTCTGGGGCCCCACGCATACATGTCTGAACCTCAATTATGTTGTGATCTGAGTATATTGTTTTTGATATGGTGACATTTCTTATCAGATCATCATTGTTAGTGAAGATGAGGTCTAGTGTATTCTCCAGTCTAGTAGGCTCTATTATTTGCTGGTTTAAATTGAATTTTGTGCAGAGATTTAAAAGCTCGTGTGAGTGTGAGTTTTCATCAGAGCTGCCTCCTGGTGTTATTACTGCAACAATATTATTTGCTATATTCTTCCATTTTAGGTGCCTTAAATTGAAATCCCCAGGAGCAAGATGTTTGGGTGCAGGAGCTGGAAGATTTTCCAGACAGTGGTCAATTTTTAACAGCTGTTCCTGGAGTTGCTGGATGTTGCATCCGGAGGCTTGTAGACTACCACAATGACTAGGTTTTGGTTCTCGACCTTTACTGCTAAAACTTCCACTACATCATTTGAGGCATTTAGCAGTTCTGTGCAAACAAGTGACTCTGCAATGTACAGGCCAACCGCCCCCCCCCTTTTGCCTGTTCACTCTGTCACATCTGTATAGGTTGTAACCTGGGATCCATATTTCGATGTCCAAGTGATCCTTTATGTGGGTCTCAGTGAAAGCCGCGAACATTGCCTTTGCCTCTGCAAGCAGTCCACGGATGAAAGGTATTTTGTTTTTGTTGCTGGCTTTAGACCCTGTATATTTGCAATGAAGAATGTCATCGGACTGGTGGTATTGTTGGTACTGAGGGGGGATTTTTTTTTCCGGAATTAGTATCTGTATCTGTTGGTTTGGAGTGGAGGCCATCGACTGTGGTTCCACTCCAGGAATGACTAGATTTGGTGTACGATTTCTGCCATTTCCTGCCAGTTTTTTTTCTTCCTGGCACTAAAAAACCTCTCCCTCTAGTGGCTGTGGCTACCCAGGTTTTCCCATGGCCTGGATGTTTTGTATCTTTTTGTACCCTTTAGATGATGTGCCTGGCAATTTAAGTTATAGCACAGTCTTTCCTGTACTGAAGAGGTACACATTTCAGGGTGAAAAAGCTTACAGGAAGGGAGTTTGCATTTTCCTGTTGTCATATGGGCATGGCATTTTCTAGGGTGGTCATAGTTGCACGTCCCGTCTGTTTTTCCAGATTTCCCATGTCTGCAGATACCAAGTGCATAGTATGTGCACAGGCTTGGTTTCCATTTGCCTTGGGTTTCTGTGACTGTACTCCCTGTTGGTGCATGTTTCCCTGTCTTATTCCTATCCTCCCTAGCACCAACAATGGAGCTCCACCAGTTGTTTTTGGTAATATATCCTCACTATAGCTAGTGGAGTCCTCTGTTTGCTATTTCCTGATGGTATTTCTAGTTTGCAATATTGGTTTTATCTTATCTTTGACTACACTTGTTTCCCCACTACGGCTCCTGTCCCCAATGAGGTCATTTATATGTATTCCTTCCTGCGTATAATTCCCGACTACCTGGACAAAATCTCCAGCTTCACCATTACTGTCTCCCAGGACAGCACCTCCAGCTTCACCATTACTGTCTCCCAGGACAGCACCTCCAGCTTCACCATTACTGTCTCCCAGGACAGCACCTCCAGCTTCACCATTACTGTCTCCCAGGACTGCACAATCAGCCCCACATTTACTGACTACCAGGACATCACCTCCAGCCTTACAGTTTCTGACTACATGGCCAGTATCAAGGGCAGTACCATTCAGCCCAGACTTTTTATGTTCCCATCTGTTGTAGAAAGCTTCCAGGTTGTCTATGAAAGCAGCTTTGATGTTATCCTCTTTTAATACCCTTGTGATTTTAGTCCACAGATTTTCCTCATTTAGGGCATACCCAAAAACACTTCCCTGTTTTAATACTGCTTGTAGCTAGTTCTTGGATATCTGCACAAGGGGCGTGACACCAATTTCCACAAAAATAACAATTTATCCATGTGGAAGCCCGTTTGTTTGATTGACTGCAGACTATACAGAGCTTCATAATGATTTGAGTGGTTGATTTACTGTAATTCTACTAGCAACCTCTTGAATACTCTATTAATAACCTCCTTAAATGAAGCTCTAGCTATTTGTATTTCTATTTCTAACTAATTGGACAGCTTACCGTGTACGTTCCTGATTATATTTATTGTTTGTGTTTGATAAGGGGCCTACAACCCCATCTGTTTACAGTCTGCTTTATTGTCCAACGAATCCGTTTGAAACCAGTCAAGGGTTCGGACCATCAAGGGTTCGGACCAGTCGAGGGTTCGGACCAGTCGATCTGATCTGATCAGTGGGTCACTTATTTAAAACATACTAGT